TCAAGTAATCATGTGATTGACTGAGGTAATGAAATAAGTGTGAGCCAATGTATCACTAAGGCATTTAATGTCAGCTGTCAATGAAACTTCCCAGGTAGGTATACATACTAATTAACCATTACACTCATATTAAAATCTGCTTATAAATATTTGTAAATTTGAAATGGTATGATAAACTTTTATGATGAAATTATTTAATTTTTTTGCTAAGGGTACATCATTAACTTGCAGAATTTTTGAGACTTCGTTCAACACTTTTAATTTCAGTAATGCACTGGCAAAATTTTAAAAAATATATATATATAAAACCAATTAAAATGCAGAAAATTTCACCTTCTTGTAATATCAATTTGTTAAGTTTTCACAATCACAAGATATCTAACATTACATTAATGTAATGTGGAGTAGGTTTAGATGTCAATATTTGAGGCCTGTCTGAGTCACTGAATGTAAACACATTTCCTCAGTGAAAAAGAGGGACAAATTAAACTTCTTAACACATGCGCAAAGAGAAATACTAGATATATGTCACAAAGGGGAATAAAGCATGCTAGGTTGTAAAAAGATTCGTTTGTGTTTAATAATTGCATTGAAATTTATTTGTTCCTCTAATTTACACAATTTCTTCTGCTGAATGAGGGCACAGTTAAAAGTATGACTGCAAGGAAAAAAAACAGTGTTGACCTGAGATCTGTAGAGGGGAAAATAACTTTTTATTTTGTGGTTAGGGATTTTTCTATGGTTATATTTTAACTTAAAAGCTCCAAAATTGGGTAAATTATAAAATTCTAAATGCATTATACATTTGGTAATTATTAAAAATCTTTTTTATAGATTTTTTTGTTCATATTTTGTATAGTTATTTTGTACAGTACTGTTTTGATCATGTTTTGAATTTCGGAGTTCTCATTGAGGGCTACAGTGACTTCATTAGCATCGTAATTGTAAGTGTGTGTGTGTGTGGGGGTTGCTGCAAGAGAAAAAAAAATTAAATTACCATTTTATGAAAACTTTTTTTCAGAAAATTTATATTTTTACACTAGCTACTACATTACTCTCCGCAATATGTTCTCTTTAGAATAACAATTTAAGACTATATGCATAAACTGAGATTCTAAACAGTGTTGCAGAGAGTAAAGTAGTGTATGAAAAAATAAGCACTTAGCTTACATTGTCCCCATCTCCAAAACTGTCAATGACAAACAAGTCTTGAAAAAAAACTTGAGTTTGACAGTTTCAAAAATGGGGACAAATCCATGCTGAAAAGGTGCAAATTGTTTTCTATATCAACGGGTTTTTCAATAAAATTTGCTGTTGATACCTTCACAAATTTCATTGTGCATGTGTTTTAACGGCCTGAGGTTCAAAACTGTAACAAGCCCCATTACGAATTTTCAATAATATAGGTCTATGACAGGTTTATAAAGACTTTTCAATTGGTTCTTTGGATGATCGGGATCTCGTTGTAGCTATTTTCTATATAGTAATTCTATTTATTGTATATATGCATTGTATATGTGTTTTAAAGAAGGCCCCGAGGAAGACTAGTGCTTGCACTAATCGGGTTACCTCCTCTAAATAAAGTATTATTATTATTATTATTATTATTATATTCCAGAGCTGTTCAGCTGCTGCAGTGATGGAATCTACAATAGTCTAACATTCAGATATGGAAATACATGTAATCTATATTAATAAATACCGATGCCGTTCTGCTAGTCAAATCCAAAATTTATCAAAAACTTTCTTGTTTCATGCCTGCATGTATAAAAAAAAATACCTACATCAGTACATGTACATGATTTGATATTGCTTCAAGTTCAAAGCTTGGCACGTGTTTCCACTTTCATTTTACGAGATAAGGGAAATAACCCAATTTCACTGCAACTGCAAGTGCTATACATGTAAATCGATCGTCATAAACACATATACATGTACCAGTTTTGGGATATTTTTTTAATATTTCCAGCAATCATTTAAATAACCATAACCAATAATAAGTATTTTGGATTCCTAACCTAAGCCTATAGAGATATAGGCCTATACACATGTACATTATCATACATGTAGGTTCATCAAGCCATCCCACAGGTGCTTGGGGAGGGAACCCCCTCGCGTTCTCTTTATCAACTTTCAAAAATAAAATATTTGTCCATTACATATTCACAAAGTATTACAAATAAAAAATCCTAATACTATTAGTAACAGTGCAGAGAGTATCAATTTTTATAAAAGGCTAGTTTTAGTTTAATTTTGGACTTATCAGAAGTCAACCATTCCCCATAATGTTCCATCAAACTATTTTTAAGACAACTCTAGGCTTTTTGACATATACCATAGACATACTATTAGACATCTGTCTTTTCAATTAAAATGCTTTGTGTGGAACCCGTAAAACCTTAATTAATTAAATTTGTCAATGGTCATTTGGCAGGGAATGCTCACTGTCCTCCATAGCACCTAATCCCACCTCTGATGTTTTGGAGGTCCATGTTTGTTCTTCTTCTATTTTGTATTGTTTTGCGGACTTTTGATCTTGAATTCTCTTCGTTGTCTCCAAATGCATATTTGATTGCAAAATTATTTTATTAAAGTAGATAGGCGTACATAGAAAGTTGGAGCAGAGCAATTGAAAGATGGAGATGGGGTTTCACCCCAAAAAATCCATGCAGGGGACTATACTTAGGACAAATTTCAATGCACATATTTTGCAAAAAAGTGGGGATGGGGGCTAAGCTCCCTACCCCACCACTCCCAGCCCACCCGTCAAACCCGGTTCCGATGCGTATGATAATTGCACACACAAATACTCGGAAGTTGGAAATTGACATTAAGAAGGATGCTAGCTTGAGTTTTTGTAAGATTGACAATACGATCTGCGGAGTTTGTCGACATCAAATCTTCCAATAATCTATGGGAAGATCCATGGGTACCAACTGCGCCCTGTTATTACCGGACCCTTTTTGTATTTATTATTCAAAAGAAACTTAAGTCTACATGAAAAGAAGACCTCTGTTACTGTGGCCTTCGGTCAATTCATCAAATATACGAGGGCCGTTCAAAAATTACGCGGACTGGGCTATTATTTACTCTTAAAGACGTCATATAGTTATGAAATTTCACAGAAATATGTATCTTAAAGATTCCAATAAATTTTGAGCAAAAATTTTGTATTTTAAAAACTTTTTACTAAAATTATCGGAATGTTGATGTCGCTGATGGAGAGGTACGGAGCAAGACAATAAATTTAAAGCAAAAGCATGCGGAATCCAAATTTTAACTCATTTATTTTCTATAATTCGCAACATTTTTCGAAAATTTTCTCAAATATATCTTTAAATTGTTCTATTATTATGTATTTAGATTTCTGACGTGATATTTGAAGTATTAAAAGAAATATAGTCATTTTTCTCTAATGCGATTCGTGTGAAAACGACTATGAAAATGACGTCTCCTGAATGGACGGCGCACCACACTTTTGTTAAATTATGTATAATGCTCGAGATATCGCCAACATAGATCCAAAATATGCATAATAAAACATGTAGTAAACTAGGGTATTCGTGACATTCGTCCACAAATAGGAATTTGATATTTTAGACTGTTAGACCTCTGTAAAAAGGCTATACGTGAGGACGGGAAGAAGATTTTCGACGAAAACTTTGTCCGAACTGTAAAGAACATGATTGAAAGTCACCAATATTACAATATATCTCATAAATACCTGAAGTTTTTGGTTTTTATAACAAAAAAGAATATTCTTTACTTGTTACATAGATTTTAAGCTTGACAAGAAATGGTGTTTGGATGTTGAATAGATAAGGTAACTCAAAATGTACAGGTACTCTTGGGAAAATTTTGAGAAAATGAGAGATCAATCACATACTTTTTATAATGCCTGTGACGTCGAAGATTTTGCTGCTTCGTGACTTAATGATATGTCCTGAAAAATCACTCAAAATTGATACCAATTTACAACAATTTTATGTGAAATTTTGAAGACTATATAAGAAAAGATTCTTTTATATTATGTGTCACATTTTGCCCGATTATGTTGTCAAATATTTTTTCTGTGCAACAAGTCCGCGTAATTTTTGAATGGCCCTCGTAGATCGCAACATTTTATCTATTAAAGATATTCATTTCGTTCCTTCGTTCATTCACCATACACCTGTATCCCTTTGAACGCAAAATGAAAGATACTGCAGAGGGTGTCTTCCCACTTAGCCAACATTTTGAAAAAAAACAGGTAAAACACAGGTAAATCTGTGTTGGCTAAGTGGGAATGGGGTGCAGGTAGAGAACAAAAGAAATAAATTACGTACAGGTAGACTATAGTCTGTTTTAGCTATTGCTGAATAAATAATAAATAATTCATACAAGAATAAAATAAAAAATGAAATGTTTTCTTCTCATAATAATTATACAAAATTGTTTCTTCAGAGTGTCTTGTTTTTATTTATTTTCTAATGAAAATATGTTGTGTGGTAAAATAAAAATATTTTTTTCTTTTTTTCTTTATTTACTGAAATGATTTTAATATTCTATTTATTGATTTAAATTAAATTAATTAATTCTCTGGTTAAATTTAACTACTTTTTTACATTAAAAAATTATTTAACTTTAATTTTTTTCTTTAATTTTATATTTATTTTGACTCAAATTTTACCTCTGGTTGGTATATTTCTACATTGATTTTTATATTGTCCAAAGGAATTAATTCTCAGGTAATTCATATATAAGCATGCCAGAAAACAGACTATAGCCTGTTAATCACTCAGGTGTAAAAATCAAAATGTTGGCTATGTGAGTATAGGATTTTTCAAAATGTTGGCTAAGTGGGAATAAACCCTGACACTATCAGGCCATTGTCAGCAAACACAACAACAACAAAAAAGAAACATGCTATAAACACTAGAAAAGACTTCTGATGTACATAATGTTTTGATCATTTTTAATGATCATTGATTAGCATATAGTACAAGGTTTTTGATAGTACATGAGAAGGAAATTATTAAACAACTGTAAAATTTCTTATCTGCTCAAAGATTCTAAATTTAGAAAAGGGGGATTCCTAGTTGAATTTTCTGTCGATATATGTATGACTTATTCAGAGAGGTAAGTACACTGTAATTTTCACTTCATTATTTCATATCAAAGTTAAAACCCTGAGAATGTACATGTACAATGTCATAAAACAATTTAATCAATAAGTACTGCATTTTTGTCGAAAACAAATTTCACTTTATGTACTTAAAAAAAATATATATTTAAGCATGGTTTATGTCGCGTCGGTAAGTCTGGAAATGTATACTATAGTGTATGGCAATATTCCTTGCGTAAAACTTTGGAATCAAATATTTCAATGAGATAAAAAAAAAGTACAATTTTTTTAATTGCGAAATGTATAAAATGTATATAAAGGAAGATAACGAACAGTGACCGACCTTAAAAAAATTAAAAACAATAAAAATATATGTGAAGAGGGTATCAAACACGGATCCCTGGGAATTCCAGAGGCGGGATCGGCAATCGGATCACCTCGCCCTTTTCCGTCGCACGCTACGACGGAAAAGGGCGAGGTGATCCGATTGGTGGGATCGGGCGCCTAGGAGGAGTAAACATCCCCTGTTGTCTGTCACACCCACCGATAGCCCTATGTATTGATCAAGGATATAATGCGTAGTCGGCAAATCTAGGCGTACATCTACCTGTATAAACACAAAGTCCTAACATTTTAGTATGAAACAAGACAGCCAAAGTAAGACTCAGTGATATAACTTATATTTGCTGAAAAGGTCATGATTACTGATCGTATTATGACAATTCCCGTAAAAACAATATATGAGAACCCTAATAAGCAAACGCAATGTTTTTATATTTTTTAAAATTAAAATTTATTTAACTTAACATGTAATACAATGTAAATCTTCAACCTTTTTGCGATTGCTTAATTTGGTACACTTCCACAAATACAAAAATACAAATCAGTTAACTTAAGATACTTACATGTTTTTACTGATAATAATGACTTAAGAGTCCTTGTACAAAAACATAAAAACAAAATGAAAATTTCAAACACAAAAGAAAATGCATGTACCGGTATCATAAATATGTCTTCAGTAACTTGCTCTTGGTCATTTGCACTAAAGTACAGCCCCTCAAAATCATGTTTGGGTTATTTTCAAAAAAAGTCCACTTTTTTGTCTTTTGATCAGAAAAATAGGAAAAACAATTTTTAGAGCGAAAGTTTTTTTCCCGTTGGTTAATATACATGGTTATACAGCTTATAAGTTATTTTATGATCATCCCTCTGGTGTTTTATAAAAAATAATCTATGCATTCTGAGTAAAATTTAACAGTAAAACCATGTCACATTAACAAAAATTTTATAACGTGCTTATTTAAATGATAGGGAAAATATTACCATGTGAAGATATGTACAAATTTTGCACCTCATATTAATTGAATTTATTTACAGATTAATTTAATATGATTGTTTTACTTACGCCGCCCACTAAATACTAGTATTGTGCATTTAACATTCAGGAAGTGACATGTCCCTCCAGTTTTGTCATTCCTGTTACCAAAAAGAAAATGTTAAAATAAAAGTTATCTCACTTTCCTAGGAACTGTTTTCATGATCCACAATATATATCATCATTTTCTGTTGTCTCAAGTTTATGAGCGCCCTGATTTGAAACTGAGTAAAGAAAGGGTTCAAAGGTCGATACGTTTGTCTTAATGGTAGAGTATAATGAAAATATGTCCTATCTGTTACCTTCTTAATATGCAAGTACTCTTTAAATTGTTTATTCTGCTAAAACAATTAGATTAACTAAGCTACAAAGAAAATGTTTCAATGTCTCGATGATGCAAAAAGAGTACGTTATACTAAATAACGGATGATTTATATGAGAAACATCCATCCTGTTACTGTCATTCCTGTTACCATTAATATGGTAACAGTAAGGAAAACTGGACTTCATATCTTGAGTTTTAACAATAAAAACAATTACTTTTATTTTTCTAAGTAATATAAGTTTAATAACACATGTTAAAAAACTTCGTAAATCATATTGAAATATTTTAGTTTTTCAAATAGTGCCATTACTACTTAAACATGCACTCTTGTAACAGAATGGACAGAAATTGTAACAGGAGGGACAAATTATCCTGGTATTTATATACCGATTTAAGTTTTATCATTTGTTTTTCCTAAAATTATGAAAAATTCTTAGTTTTGCAACAGCATAGAGTACCTTTAATAAACAAAAATTGAAGTGATAAATATTTTAATAGCACTTTACAATTAAATTTCGTAACAGGATGGACATAAATGTCTTTTATTGTCTCGAATTTGCCAGATTTGACAAAATCATGTTTTTATTCTACATTTATTTTTATCTTTTCCTAACCAATAAAGTTAAAAAAAGTCAATTTTTATTTAAAATGTAGATTTCATTGTCCATCCTGTTACACAGTTTTGTCCATCCTTTTACTGTTTTGTCCTTCCTGTTACCCGAGTCCTTACTGTTACCAGTATATTTTCCTAGTTTAAATTGCTTTGACAGAACACCTGTTTAAATAACTTTCTGTAACTGTTTATTCTAATCACAAAAATAATGTACAAGAATGTTTTTTTCAACTATAGCATATAAACATTCCGCAATAAGGCTTTTCATGAAGAAAAACACATAGATTTTGCTTCTGTTTGGTATATGGTAGTTTGACATGCTTTTAAACGCTCATATATTAGATGAATGTCAAACATCTTGGCATGCAATGATAATTTTTTTTATTTTTTGACGATATACAAAAGATTATTTGATGAAAATTTTGAAATAAAGTTTTACAGCTCTTTTTATGAAAGTAACAGGAAGGACATTAAAATTTAAATGACTAAGATAAAATGTCAATATTTTTGAAAAGAAATATTTTCTTTTATGCAATGCAGTGGATTTTAGAAGTTTATTACTATATTATTCAAATAAAGTTGAAAAAATCATAGTAAAACCACTTTCATTTTTCAAAAATATGTCATTCAAAAAATAGACTTTTTTTGAAAATGACCCATTTACGTTTATTGTTAGATAGGCTGTGTTAATTTCTTCATGATCAATGACTTCAGAAACACTTTAACCGTATTAAGTTACTTGTCTCTGCAGCTGTACGAGTATACTTTTTGTGCATTTTTGTACACATAAAAATACTTATGGTAGACAATTTTTTTCATATATGGTTATGATTTTATACCCAGTCCCAGCGAACAGTAAACTAATTGATCACACTAACCAGCCGTGAATCAGTGCCCTCTTTGCATAGAAAATCTTCCTCGTATGACGAAATGGGGCATTGCTTTCCCACGACATTCATATTCGATATTTCCAAATTTGGTTATATGATTTTAAATCTAGTCCCAGCCAACTGCAAACTGTTTGATCACATTAACCACCTGGGAATCAGCGCCCTCTATGCGGAGAAAATCTTCCTCGAATGACGAAACAGGGGATTGCTTTCCGACGACGTCCACAACAACAACTCTGGTCTCCCTGCTTGCCCAGGGCTGTGATTTGTAGCGACCCATGGCTTCCTTCAGACGATAATGCTCCTGTTCAACGTAGGTCTTTGAAGTAAATAAAACGAAAACGCTTACTTCTAACTGTTTCCTAATTGCGTAATCTATAGGTTTTGTCAAGTCTGAACTTTCAACGTCATGGATGAAAAGCGAATTTTCGACATTTTCAAGTCTGTCGTCTGGCGATATGCGTAGATAACTACGAATATCGGAAGAACCAAACGGTAAAACACGACAGAAATAAACATATCTGACGAGTTCTAACAGAATACCCGTAACTGCCTGGCGTGAGGTTATTTTAGCAGAAACTACGTAATCAGATGGTGATATAGTCATATCTATACCGAAAGCCATTCGAACATCCCTTGCCTCAAAAATGTCGTTCTGTGGTTTCAGTGACTTATAAAAGGCTTCTTCAAGAGCAGAAAGAACTGTTTCAGATGGCGTAAATATATTTCCGCGAGCATTCCTTTCTCCCGATTTGTGCTGGAAATATGCTGTAAGAATTTCGAAAGGATGCACTCGAGCCTTATTCAGCAACCCAACATCGTTCAATTTTTGTGCAACTATGTTTTCATCTCCACTGTACCTTTCGAATACTCCATTTGATGCCAAGGAATTCAGGTTGCGGATGACTGCATGAATTGGCATTTGTTGAAGCAGAGCATGCCATACATCAGGTTTGTTCAGGAATTCTTTCTTTACATGTTCATGGCAAAGTTGATGTCTTCCAATTAAGTGAATGAGGCGAGCCTCGTCGTTCCTTGCCCTGCATCCTCTGGCTTCTTCCACTCCATGTATATAAGTCTGCACTGTTTCTAATTCAAGGGACCGATGATGGATGTTAAAATCGACTCCATTTACACCATGGACGATGTATCCAAGTATATACTGCACTTCCTGAGTAAAAGGTTTGACATGCGCAAGGCGTATGACATCTTTATGACTCATATTTCCTCTTTTGGGATATTTGGTCACGTGATATGCTAATTTCATCGGGCCTCCTGGGTAATTATTGTAGAGGTTAGAAATAGCTTTTCGCCTGGCACGTCCCCACTTTTTACCCCCAGCATCTTCTTGGGAAAATTTAATGAATTTTATGAGGTAGTCAAATATTCTGCATACATCTGGGATGATCCTATTTGCCTCGCGCTTCGTTACTAAATCGCTGGATGTCGAGCAGATGGCCAAGGCATGAAGTATTCCATCCTGCTTTGCAGCTCTTCCCTCCAAACTGTACTGTCTGATTACACCTACATCTTTTCCTCTACCGCCAACAATTAACCTAAAAAAAATAATGTTCAACCCAGTCAGAAAAATTGGCATTTAATTTATATTCTATATACATACAGAACATTATAATATCGAGGAATACCATGCAGGGTGAGGCGATGGTTTCTTGGACTTGGCTAACAAACATGTACTCCCTTTCAAGTTAGCCAACTGAAAGTTAGCACCCCCCCCCCCACAAAATTGGATTTTCGTGTTTGGACTATGGTTATATCCTCTTTCTCTCTTTCTTTTTGTTTTGCTCGCTTGTCAAGTTTTTTTGGTTGCAACTTTTTTCTCTTCAAGTTCAATTACCCCCCCCCCCCCCCCCAATTTTCAATTGGCTTCTGACGCCATTGCAATACATGATAAAGAGCATGGTTTGTTTTCTCCAAGAATTCAGTATATAATATACATGTAATGAATAACATGTTAAACTTTCTAGTTTTCACTTTAAGGAATTCATTTTTTCTTGCCTTTACAAATTACGTGTAACAGTCTCCAGCGTGGCGCAGTGGTTAGAGCGTCTGCTCTATAGAATCGCAAAGTAAGGAGTTGATCCTTACTTCGAAGCCTTCTGTGGGACGTCGAGACCGGTCCTTCAAATGAGACCGTATTTAAACCGAGGCCCCCTGTCGCAGTAGGTGCTGGTACGAAAAAGATCCCTCCCTGCTCAATAGTCCTTAATGCCAAGTATATGACATAATTTGCAGCTCCATCGGCAAGTGGTGCCGTCTCCACATGAGTGAAAAAATTCTCGAGAGGGACGTTAAACAACAAATAAACGTACATAACGATATTGAGTACATTGGCGTCGGAAGCAAATTGAAGGGGGGGGCCTAAGTTAAAAAAAAAAATAGTAAAAAAAACCTAACAAGCAAAAAAAAAAAAAAAATTAAAAAGGGAAATGTCCATTTCTCAATCACGAAAATCCTATTTCGTGGGGGGGACGTGTCTGTGGAAAGCTTACGAGCAATGTTCAATGTCTATACTATATATATGTATATATTTGGAAAAAAAGTGGGGGGGGGGAGGGGCTAAGCCCGCCCCCTCCCGGTTCCGACGCCTATGGAGTAGATAAATGCTTTTTTCACTGATCAATATTTCTGTTTCAAGAGAGGCAACTCTAGCTGAGATCTTTTGTTTATCTTTACGAGACATACTCCTAAAAATACACATTTTTAAAAAATTCGAAAGATACATATGTAAAACGACTGTATTTTTTAAAGAATAATTATCAAAAGTGTTGCAAGAATACTTGAAGATTGGACAATTCTCATAACAGCATGTAAAGTACTTTCGTTTTAGGTATTGATCAACGAAATACTACACATGATGTACCTTGAAATCTGCATGAATATCTCTTCCTTGAAATGGTTTCTATTTAATCCTGAAGATGAACACAAAGAAAGCAACTAATTTTTAACTTTACCTTCGGAGGAAGCTGACATCAATTTTTGAAGTAGTATGCAATACAGAATGGGGGCGATAAACTGAGTTAGATCCTCCCAGAATCAGAAAGTGTTTGAGTCTCCGGAAGTCTGACTCTGGTGGAATTCCTGAACGTTGTTCCATGTTCCATTACAATAAGTTCAAGAATATAAAAGAGAACTGTTTTTAAGTGTTCGTTGAGAGAAGGTATATGTTGCTAAAAATACTATAATTGGAAATTTTAAATGATGTCATAGTTTAAAAATAGAATTGGAGGAGCACATCTAGATCACCTGTACTTTATAAAACAGTCAAGCCAACGGGTTGCATCGTCGGAAACCCACGGTCGGTCTCGCTTCTTACGTGGGTTTCCGACGATGACGGGTTGGAGACAGGAACGTAGTATTACAATGTTCAGTGCCTATTTTTCTCCAGACATATTTTTTTTACTATAGGAAATGTTCATTGAAAGACTGGTTGATCTACCCCCACTTTTTGTCGTATTATACCCAAATAATAGTAATGTAGTATGTATGAGCAGTTGAATTAAAAATAAATTTTACTCAAAGTTAAAACATACCCCCACCCCACCCACGCTGCCCCCACCCCAACTACCATCAACACCAGCAAATTGGGTTTTGAGATAAACCAATTTTCTTTTCTTTTTTCTTTTTCTTCTTTTTTTCCTGGCTTGTCAATTTCTTTTTCAGTAAATAAAAAAACAATTTCTGGCTCCCCCTCCCCTTACAAAAGCGATGCCAGGGAGATGGGGTTTATTTATCTAGTATCGCAACAAAAAATGACCGTATTTCCCTGGAAACAAGGACCACTCTAAAGTTTATGCAGATATTGGATTCCTGGATCCCTCATGTTATCCCGTCTTGTTTCAAACAGTTTTTATTATAGCTCTGACTTGCTCATAGGCATCTCCATGCATTATACATATACTCAGTATTCATGTACATGTAGGTCTTACCCATCTAAACTAGTAGTTAAAAGAATATTGCAGATTATTATTAGATTTGTCAGTTTGTACAATTAGCATAAATTTATAAAGAATTTTTTTAAACAAGCTGTCAATGGTACTCATCAGTAAAAGGGTTTTAACATCCTTTTCTAAAATAAGTGCATTAGGGAGGGGGGGGGGGGTAGGAAGGTCAAAATATCTCGGAGAATAAAAAAATAATGATATAACAGTATAAAAGAATGCTTTTTGGTCGCACAATCGACTACGTTTTGTTAGAATATTTCTGCATATCATCAAAAAAGAATTAATCAAAATATTGAATGCGGAAGCTACTTTTCATGCATTGATTTTTAAAAATCCATTAAATTTATATTTTGGGACATTCAGTTCAATTACGGAGAAAACTCAGAAATGGTTTAAGTATATTTCCCCTATTAATTGTAACATCCTTTCCAGTCATTACTATATGTCTTAGAAATTATTTTAAAGATCACAGATGACGAATATTTGTCTAAATTCATTAATATTAGATCGATACGCAAACGTTTTTCTTTCAGTGAAATTTATAATTAAAAATAATAATAATAATAATAATTAAAATTAAAGATTAAAAGCTGAAAATTTTTAAACGTTTTTGAAAACATGTAAACAATTTGTATGGATCAGTGATATTACTCAAGAAAGATAACTATATCTATGACACCCTATATTTTAACCTTACAGTCAGGTGATAGCAAGCTTCCGCCATTTGTTATTTTCTGGATTCTTATTTGGACATGTATACATAAATTGGTATTGCCTATTATAATGTATTGTTACACATCTGAAATCATTTGATTTAACTTAAGTTATTGTATAATTTATGTAATGCATAACATTCCTATAAAATAAACTAGGCAGGTACATGTACATATGGATTATTTAGATACTGCATGGGTGAAAAGGAACATGGGTGTATCCTTTAACACCCTTAGGTTGAAATTAAACTTTTCAATAAAAATCGGTATCACTGTAAGCAATTTAAGTTTTAAGGTAACAATTTTAATAATTCGAGATATATTGATTTGTGAGAATATGGAATACAAATAATGTGCAGATGTATATTTACTTTCGATTTCGACCAAAGATATTTAGGCATTGAGATCTATAATCAATGTCATATCATTCAAATTTTAGATTTGGACATGGATCCCAGCAGCAGTGCCCAGGATGTGATCAGATGTGACCTTTGTGAGACAGCTATAGTACAGATGTACTGTGATTTCTGTCATGTCAGCCTCTGTAAACCCTGTATTGGAGAACACATTGCTGATGAATATGACAAACATAAAATTGTCCCATTCCAACAAAGAAAATCCACCTTAATTTATCCACAGTGCAATACACATGAAACAAAAACATGTAAATTTGATTGTAAAAAATGCAACACATATGTGTGTTCTTTATGCATTACATCTGATACACATAAGGGACATGCCATTAGAACTCTTTCTGATATCTTTAATTCAAAGAAAGAAATCATAGGGAAAGATACCGAAGAGTTAGAAAAAATAATTTCTCCAACTTATGAAGAAATTGCCACTGATATAGAAACACAAATAGCTAATCTGGATGAAGAATATGAAAATCTTTTAACAGCAGTGACAGAACATGGAGAAGAATGGCACAAGAAAATCGATAACATTGTAAACAAAATGAAAACAGAAATTGAAGAGATAAAAATCAAACATATATGCATTCTGAAGAAACATTTAGGTGGAATTAAACAAATACAGAATCTCATTAAACAAACACTGCTAAAACTATATAAAATAGATGAATCAAATGAAGTGTCCATGATTATGGAATACAGTTCTAAAATCAAAGATTTGAGCAGAATTCCTCCCAAAGTTGAGATATCACTGCCAACATTCAATCCAAAGTCCAAAGATACAGAATATTTTTATACATTGTTTGGATCTTTAACACAACTATCTACGAAAACAAAAGAAAATGGTTACAAACTGAAGAAACAAGAAACACCAACCAGAGAACTGCTGGAAGAACCAGAACTTATCACTTCTATAGATACTGGGTATGAAGAACTCCGCTCTGTTGCCTGTCTCAGTGAAGAAGAAATCTGGACAAGTGGAATGGTTAGTGATATGAAATGTTTTAACATTCAAGGCTCCCTAATTAAGACAATCAGAACAAAATCAGGGGAACGGCCAAGTGACATAACAGTGGCAAGTGATGGAGATCTATTGTACTCTGACAGGATAGAAAGGACAGTGAATAGAGTGAAGAATGGCCAAACAGAGGAGATGATCAGACTTCAGGATTGGACACCTAGAAAACTCTGTGTCACCTCCTCTGGTGATCTGCTGGTTACTATGTACAGTGTTACTAATCTCTTGGTTTCTATATTCAGTAAACCACAGTTCAAAGTTGTGCGTTTCTCAGGTTCCACAGAGAAACAAACAATCCAGTTTGATGAAGAGGGTAAACCTCTGTATTCAGGAAATGACCGAGTTAAGTACATCAGTGAGAACAGAAACCTGGATATCTGTGTGGCTGACTGTGAAGCTGGTGCTGTAGTGGTGGTCAACCAGGCTGGAAAACTCCGATTTAGATACACTGGTCATCCTCCCTCTGCTATAAAGAAAAAACAATTTGTGCCTTATGGTATCACAACAGACAGCCAGAGTCAGATCCTGACAGCAGACTATTATAACCACTGTATCCACATCCTAGACCAGGACGGACAGTTCCTCCGTTATATAGATAACTGTGATCTGAAGAATCCATATGGTTTATGTGTGGACAAAAATAATTTGTTTGTTACTGAGTGGAGTGGAAAGCTTAAGAAAATTAAATATCTTAGATAGATTTATGCATTTATTTAGGTATATAATGTGAACAAACATTCAAAGGTGCTCATTTACTTGCTATACGTTATTGAAGTATAAATTTATGTTCATTACAAATGGTCCTTCAAGTGCAATTCTTACTTTAGAAAACATGTACCGTACATTTCCATATACTAGTACATGCGCATACTAAAGAATCTTAGAGAAATAGGTATTGTAATCATGGTACATGTAATAAAGAACTATCTGTTGCTGAATTTAGAATAAATCTATATATTTTGAAAGAAATCATGTACAATACAAACAACCTCCTTATAACTGAACCACGAAGGAAATGTAAGGCCTTATTAATATAACCACCCTCGCAATACATCATCTAACTCTTTGTGAAAGCTTTAATTTGATTTGTGCAGTCAGAGGTCCAACGGCAACATGTTGACTCAGAACCCCTGGCATTGTGTGTTTGTAATATAACAGACAGTCAGACACCCTGTCTATTTTAACACAAAATTTGTCTCCCATTGCATGTCGGATTACCTGTAGTCAGATTTCATTGTAGATTTTTAAACCACTATTTTAATCAACAATCTTAGTACACTGTAATGCATCTGCAAACTCAAATTACCCCTTACCATTATTTTTAAGCTACTTTGCACGAAATATTAGTCTGCTATTTAGTGATACATTTACATGAAAGAAAAATCTAGAAAATATTATATAGATATAACATGTATAACTGAAAAAAATATCAAGTCATCATACAAATCTGAGGATGTATACTTTTACTGGATTTCTAACAAATATTCCTTTCTTATATAAACTTGTATGATCAAAGAATTGCTTCACATCACATTTGTTAAATGTACAAATCACCCTTTTTCTTACATTTTCATGTAAATCATATAAGAACCATCTCTACTAAAGGCTTTTGTTTCTATGGTATTTTTCTGCTATTAGAATGTTCTGTCCTTATGTAGATCTATATTTCAATAAATAGAAATTTACAGCATTTTACTTAATATGTAATAATTTTAAACATTTTGAAAGGCCAAGATAAATTAATTGAACATGTTTTTTTATACGAATTTTCTTCATGGAAACACTGCAGTAAACAAAAGTGATTTCAATGTACTAATACGGTGCTGTGTTTGGATATTTTTCCTACGGGTATATGCCATGTACACTGTACTATATATTGAAAATAAAATAGATAAGCTCAATATTGACACATTTATCCCTTGTCATTTTCTCAATGTCCATAAAAACATTTTGCAATGGTTTAGAGAGGTTCCTTAAAATTGAGTTTTTCATTTAATCAACCTATGTAAAATTTGTAACTTCATGATTTACAGTCCACAAAAACAAACTGTCAGTCACAAGTTACCTTATTTATAATGCCAGGGGCAGTCTTGAATTCACCTTCGTGTTCCATCAATTTCAAATGGATTTCAAATCTTCCAATTTAATTTTAGGACGCACGTGTTTCAAGCATTATATAAACAGCAAAATACTGTTTTATATTGCACACTTTAAAATAAATCTTTACACAACTGTCAATTAATATTGTTTCGTAATGTCAAATTGTACTTGGCACAATCATGCAAACTCTTATTCTTATTTACACATTTCATAATATATACCTTCAGTAATACATCCTCCTGGATCCACCTCTGAAGCTGTAATTCAATCACATCACTGCTGTCATACACCCTCTTGGATCCACCTCTGAAGTTGTAACTCAAACACACCACTGGCTCTCCTCTGACTCTTTAGATCCTCCTCTAGTTTGTCAAACTGTTCTGAGATCCGGGGCTGATCTAGAATCTTGTCCAGACTGTATCGTCCATATCTCCACACACTGACCTCAGAGTCGTTTACCGAGTCCCTCAACGACTCGTTGACCTCAGGGTCATACATAAAATCTCTTACACTGACCTCAGGGTCATACACTGAGTCCCGTAAAGAATTATTTGCTGTGATGCTAACTTCCGCATTGGAATCAAACATGCTCCATGGAGGCAAGTCTGTAACATCTGGAGAAAGAGTTTGGTCTGCCTCTGTTCCATTCACTAAACTCTCAAAGTATTTGTCAAACTTTTGAGATTTCAGTTTCTCTTCTTCAATAGTTGTTGACAGAAGTTCAGATGTTTGCTTGGTTTCATGAATATTCTGAGGCAGGGGGTACACAGTGTTAGACTTTTCCTTCTGTGTGACACTAGAGGGTCCAGTCTTAAGGTTTCAGAGATTACTTCTGCGAGCTAACTCTTTAGCGGCTTCTCTGTATAATGTCTTCTCAAGAAAAACATTCCCTAAAAGAATTCAGTTTAATATTAGGTTTAAATTTCTACAGTATTACCTAAATGCACTTAATTTTAATTTTTCTTTCATGAAAAAGTACATAATTTTGTGGAAAGTTTATCTATACACTTCAAATTTATTTATTTATTTTGCTTGCATTTTTTTTTTGTTTTTTTTTTTTTGTTTGCTTTATTAAAAATAAATATGCACAGATGGTTATTACACTAGCATAATACAACGAGTTTTATTTATTGTTTCAACATTGCCATTTATACACACTTATTTTTGAACATATTTTATTGAATATTCTACGGCGATTATTGGCTAGATCAAAGAACAAGAGGCCCATGGGCCACATCGCTCACCTGAGAAGCTTTGACCATTCTGTTCTTTACCAGATTTCCCCCTTGTTATACATAATGCATCCCCACCCTACCCCACTGATCATAATTTAGACATTTTGAAATCTACACTACCCCATGATCCTTCCATGGGCACATATGTTTCAGCTTTTTTGGCCCAGTGGTTCCTGAGAAGAAGATTTTCAAAGATTTTTCCTATATATTTCTATGTAAAACTTTGATTCCCTATAATGGCCCCGCCCTTCCCCCGGGGGTCATGATTCCTACAATTTAGAATCTACACTACCCCAGAATACTTCCACATAAGCTTCACTTTTTCTGGCCCAGTGGTTCTTGAGAAGAAGATTTTCAAAGATTTTTATATATATTTCTATATAAAACTTTGATTCCCCATTGTGGCCCCGCCCTTCCCCCGGGGGTCATTATTTGAACAAATTAGAATCTACGTTATACCAGGATGCTTCCACATAAGTTTCAGCTTTACTGGCCCAGTGGTTCTTGAGAAGAAGATTTTCAAAGATTTTTCCTATATATTTCTATGTAAAACTTTGATACCCCATTGTGGCCCCGCCCTTCCCCCGGGGGTCATGATTTGAACAATTTAGAATCTATACTACACCAGGATGCTTTCACATAAGTTTCAGCTTTTCTGGCCCAGTGGTTCTTGAGAAGTAGATTTTCAAAGATTTTTCCTATATATTTCTATGTAAAACTTTGATTCCCCATTGTGGCCCCGCCCTTCTCCCGGGGGTCATCTTTGAACAATTTAGAATCTACACTACACCAGGATGCTTCCACATAAGTTTCAGCTTTACTGGCCCAGTGGTTCTTGAGAAGAAGATTTTCAAAGATTTTACCTATATATTTCTATATAAAACTTTGATTCCCCATTGTGGAATTTGTTTTCCCCCGGGGGTCATTATTTGAACAATTTAGAATCTACACTATACCAGGATGCTTCCACATAAGTTTCAGCTTTTCTGGCCCAGTGGTTCTTGAGAAGAAGATTTTCAAAGATTTTTCCTATATATTTCTATGTAAAACTTTGATTCCCCATTGTTGGCCCATGCCCTTCCCCCGGGGGTCATGATTTGAACAATTTAGAATCTACACTACCCCAGGATGCTTCCACATAAGTTTCAGCTTTACTGGCCCAGTGGTTCTTGAGAAGAAGATTTTTTAATGACCCAACCCTATTTTTGTCTTTTCTTGATTTTCTCCTCTTGCGAGGGGATATGTCCCTTCATTTTAACAATTTTAATTTCCCTTCACCCAAGGATGCTTTGTACCAGGATTGGTCAAAATTGGCCCAGTGGTTCTTGAGAAGAAGTCGAAAATGTGAAAAGTTTACAGACGGACTGACGGACGGACGACGGACAAAATGTGATCAGAAAAGCTCACTTGAGCCTTCGGCTCAGGTGAGCTAAAAACCGCGCACATTACTCTCCAATACAAACGTCTTCAAAAAATTATAAGATCAGAAACACGTATCAAACCTGAATAATTCAAATGCTGTGTTTGGCTGTAGAATGAAATACTTGTTTAGACCACATCGATGTGTCGTCTTTTGCAGAAAAAAACACTGTAAATTGCATAAAGTTGCTGATGAATGTCGGTTGTTATAGCTAAACGGGGCTATTTCACGGACCTCCCTACACACTATACAACGTGATTTTAGCAGTAAAACAGGAACATGATTTTGTTTTTGTATATTCATTAAAACTAATCAATACATATTACGAATAAATTCGTAATTTCAAAAGGCTATTTTTAATGCAACGAAACCTCAAATCGTCTGCATTCCATACACAGGTAAGCAAACAAATTTTCCCTCTGGTGTTAAATGGAACAGCGTAATCGAGACATGCAATCGCATCATCTCGGGTCTTTCCGTCAGAGGTCGGAAAAACAACCTTGAATCCCCGGATGTTAAAAATTTATACATCTTCCTGTTTAGTCAAATATAGGATAGACGGACATAGAAGTTCCATGTATGGTATATTTTAGATAATATCATTACACTGAATAAAGTTAAACTCCATATTCTACAGATGAAAGGTCACCATGCATTTATTTCAAAGATCGTGAAAAGGGGGAGTTGTAATGGCGTCTTCCTAGTACATTCGAGGTCGTTTTTCCGCTAGTCGGAAAGGCCCGAGAAGTTGCGATTGTCGAGACATGGTGACCTAATTCGTTTCTCTATAGAGGAAACGATCAGACGTATTTTAGCAATTTTATTAGACATGGTGGAATAGAAATAAAGTCCTTGTTGTCGTGAATGATGCAGGATAACCTCGAAATGTTGCTTGAAATATAAAAGTCC